GTTCTGGAGGTCGCAAGAGACAACAATGGGCATATTTTAATATGCTCTCGTTTCTGCGTCCAGGCATTGAACAAATAAAGTAACTTATTTGATTATTTATACAATAATTATCTATTTATTCAATTTTTATAATAAAAAATACTTTATCAAATATTTTACTTATTAAGCACAATAAGTAATTTTGTTGAGGAAAAGGAATCTTCCCCAAATCACATAAATCTGGGAGAAGCAAATACAGGAAATAATTCAGGTTTGTTTTAAATATATCCTTTTAATTGACAATATTCAGAAATTAATGTTTGATTCTATAGTTTTAGTACAGTACAAATTTAATAATCCCACAATAGATGATATCATACAGAATATGGTAAAAATTAGTTTTAGGAAATAAATGTATACATAGACAAATGATATAAAATTAACTTTGAGCTTAATTACTGCTCATAAGAAAGATATCAATTTATTATTTTTATAGAACTAGAATTTATCAATTATATATTAACTTATATTAAAGTTTTTGCTGTGTATCTGCTAATTAAAGCAGTAAAGTACACATAGATTTGTTTAATAAAATACATAAATGTACAGTACTGTACATTGAAACAATTTTATATGAAATAACATTCTTCATATCCTGCCCATTTATGTTGAGAATAACTTGTTCACTGTATTTTTTTTTTTTTTTTGAAGAAAAAATTAATATAACAAAAATTTACCATTTGATTAGATAGCTTTACTCAGTATGACTCCTATAAGCATTTAAAACAAATTGATATATTTTAACTATTTGCATATTACATGTTCACAGCATTTATCTTAAAAATTTTAAATGTATATTTTACTTTAAATTTTATAGAAGACTCAAATAAAGAATTTGAAAATGTACAGTCTAAAACATTTGAAATGTCCTGCCCAGATACCATTTTAACCACAGAAAACAATGACATAGATGACTGCCTAAAGGCTTGCACTTCAAGTTCAAGTGGCTCAAGTAAGTAAATATAATTTAATTTTATCATTTTTTACAAGTTTTCTTTTTCTATAAATGATAATTTGTAATTTCAGGTGGATGTAACAAAAAGAAAAGAAAAAATAATTGGGAGAAGAAATTTTTATGCGTACTTAAAACTACAAATACTCCCATAGTGGAAACTAAACATGATAGTGATTATTACTACTTCATGTCACTGTCAGAACGTTTCCGCGAAATAAAATGTAAAAAAAAAAGGAATAATTTACGGAAAAAAATTGAAGAAGCCTTTGCAGAAGCAGAGGAATCGGAATAAAAAAGTTTATTTTTATATTTCATGTCAGTGTCAGAACATTTCTGCAAAATAAAATGTAAAAAAAAAAAAAAAGAATAATTTACGGAAAAAAATTGAAGAAGCCTTTGAAGAAGCAGAGGAATCGGAATAAAAAAGTTTATTTTTACAGTTTTTTACTAGACTAATTTATTTAGACAATTCTGGAGTTGATCCTCTTGTCACAACTTCATTCTGCCAAGGAAGTCAACCTTGTTCGCTCATAAAAAAGTCTTGAAATAATTCGCGAACTTTCTTCGCATCACTACCACTATTTTTAAAATAGCACATAGTAATGTCTGCCATTGCTTCGTTTGTTTCTGTTTCATAACGCCACTGACCAGGTTTTATTTCACCATTAAACCCTTCTGAATCCACATAATTACTGGTGCAATAAGCACCTTCCTGGGACAGACATCTTATATCACACGTCCTGAGGTAAATATGTAGGCATACTGTTGCCTGTACAAATTTTACAACATTTTCAGGATTAGCATTAATAATATTTTTATATATGCGCCACCTGGCTGCTAATATCCCAAATGTATTTTCAATTATGCGTCTTGCACGAGACAAGCGATAATTGAAAACTGCCCGTTCAAGAGGTAGATTCTTACCAGGGTAAGGACGTAATAAATTTGGAAGGAGAGGAAAGGCCTCACCTCCCATAAAACAATATGGAACTTTAATATTTGATCCTGCCAATTTCTCATCCGCAGGAAAATCCAATTTTTTTTGTTCAATTAATTTTCCAAATACAGAATTACTAAACACCCTCCATCACTAGATACCGGGTGCACCTATGTCAACAATTGTAAATCTGTGTTCAGCATCACACGCAGCCATTAAAATGATGCTATTTGTACCCTTGTAATTATGATAGGCGGTACCAGAATGTTTTGGTTGCTGAATAACAACATGTTTACCGTCTATTGCTCCTAAGCATTGGGGGAAGTTGGAATACATATTAAATTTTTCACTTATTTCAATAAAATTTTCTTTATCAGGAATCTGAAATAATAACATTGTTAAATTTGAAATGATATATACTTTAAAAATTCATGAAAAGTATAATGTTTACCTTCAAATATTCACTAGAAAGCACGGTCCATATTGCATCATATACTCGTTTCACTATATTATGTGTTGTTGAAACACCAATGCGATAATTTAATGCACATATTTGTTGTTCTCCTCCATGTGCAAGAAATCTGTTTTGTTAACCAAGAAAAAATTGAATTAATAAAAAGTTACAAAAAGTAAACTACTATTTAAAATTAATATGCAGTTCAATCAACCAGAAGAATTTAAGATGATAATGTCTATAAGGAAAATCTGAAATACTATTTTCCTTACAGGCAACCTTATCTAGATTCTTAAAGATTAAGATTTTTCAGATTAACTGGTTAGTGCAATTGTAATTATTTGCAATGTAATATAGAAAAATTGAACTAACCAGTATTATTTGTAACATCTAATCCACCTGACTTATTTTTTAAGCATGTTAAATAAGAATTATAGTTATAGAAATATGTTACAATTTATTTTGCTAAAATAAATATAACATATACAAATACTTTGTTTTGGAATTATATAGATATTAAAACTTGATTGTAAAGCCTCCTAAATGATACAAACCTTAATGTCAGTGCAAGTTGTTCAGCAGGTGATATGCTTCTCCTATAAGTTGTATTTTTACATGTAATTAGTGGGCCAATTTTGCTCAACAATTCATCAAATCTAAAAATACAAATAAATATTATTGAAAGTCATTCATAAATTCAATTTTCATCTGTTATGGAAACTTTATCTGGCTTGCATGAAATGTGTTTTAATTAAATACATTATAATAGTGTTTCTAAATTTTGAAGTGGATTGTTTTGGTATATAAAATTATTTTAGGAGGGCAATGTAAAAAAAAAACAAATTTTAACATTACAAAAACATTCTTCAATAGTTTATGTAAATGAACTAACATTTATAAAAATGCTATATTATAGAACTAACTAAATCATTTAGCAAAATATTCTGAGTTAGTAGAATTATTCAGTCTTTACATTTGAGTAGTCTGTATATAAACTCGTATCTCAGATTATATACTAACGATTTATTAGATTAAAATAAAATTGAAATAAATAATAAGTTAAACATGGAATGCAAAAGTGTCAAAACTTACCTTTCTGGACTCATCCTGAAATACATATAGTATCCTGATTTATCATATATCCGCATTTGCTGTACAAGACTTCTATATTTGCCCTTTTCCTCTCACTCCAATAAAATAGGACGAACCCAATACTTTCTTTTCATGCTGAACTTCTTATATGTCAGCAAAATTGTTGCACTTCTCTTTATTTCTGACATAAAGTGTTTGACACCTTCGACATTGTTATTAATGATGCACTTGTTTAAGCTTATTAAAAGCGTTATGTACTTTTTTTCTCGCAAATTTAAAAAATTTGCTATCAAAACGCTTATCAAAGAGGTTCGTTAACTGTCTATGACCTCTGTGCTGTTTATAAAATATTCCAATGGATATTGTTGCCAAAGATATGGCCTGAAGCATATTCAGAACTACAATTTCTGGATACGAATGAAATATGTTTTAAAACAATTCGAAATGCATGATCGCTTTCCAAGACGGCTATGTTTTCTGTTTATATTGAAAAACTTACCGTGATTGGCTAGTGTATTGATCTATAACATGCGTTGTGATTGGTCCTTATGAGTCGGCCACCGACATATAATCGTACACAGTGTGAATGCTTTTACTACTAGTCGGTCCGATTATAAAATCGGTCGGGTCGGACCGGTCGGACCAGTTGGTCATAGTGTGAAACAGGCAAGTATCCCTCAAACGAGACAATTTCCTTACAACACCAAGGAGTGGACCATTCTAATTTTAACAGATATTGACCGGACATTGAATATCAGAGTAATGCGGTCCGATGGGTCAGAGGAGGGTCCAGATAACGACAAAAAAATACATACACTGATTGCGACAAAACTGGAGTGTCAGAGCGCTGTAATGCGGTCCGACGGGTCAGATGAGGGACCAGATAACGACAAAAACATACATACACGGATTGCGACAACAACTGGAGTGTCGGAGTGCTGTAATGCGGTCCGACGGGTCAGAGGAGGGACCAGATAACTACATACACAGATTGCAACAACAACTGGAGTGTTGGAGCGCTGTAATGCAGTCCGACGGGCCAGAGGAGGGTCCAGATAATGACAAAAAATACATACACAGATTGCGACAACCAGAGCCGGCCCTACCTAAGTCTCATAAGTGAACTCTTCCCCTGCCCCGCCTATTGGCACTACAGGGTTAAAGAGGCTATGTCTTATTCATCAAGTTAGGTCTGTTTCTGTTGCAGAACTTAGGAACGACAAAGCTGGGCCCTGCGGTACTTCCTTCGGTCTCCCGTCCGTACCCCGGCCCAGCTCACTAACTTGGCATGACTTTATGTTGTGCAGCCTGTACTGCACTTTTGGTCCACTGACTAAACCTTTCCAGCTCACTTACATGTAATGTAACTTGCTTTTATAAGAGAACAGACAGCGGGGTCCCCTACCCTACAAGAAGAGGGGGCCCAGCCTAGTGCGTCCACTAGGCAGATAGATCATAGGTTTATGATCATTTCCATCAAATCCTTTAGTTTCTTTAAGTTTCCTTTACTAGCTGCTAGCTTACTAGCTGCTAGCGTTTACTAGCTCAGGTGGCCTAGACCAGTCGACTTGGTCGGCCCCTTGGCGGAAATCCTCTGTAAGAGGACAGTCAAGTACATAGTGTCTCGCATCACCGCGAGGACACCCACAGGAGCAGCTACTATCTCCATGTCCGAATCTAGACATGAAGTGGGGAAACCTCCCGTGGCTGGTCAGTATTTGGGTCGTGAACCAATTGCAACACACTGGAGTGAGGCTAACTACAGGCACAAAGGCATAGGCTGGCCTACCTACTGTACTTTGAGTCCAGCGCTCTTGCCAGTTGATCATTGAACTTTTCAGCAAAGTCCCTTTAATATAAGTAGCCGAGGGTTCCACCATCCTCGTTATAAATGGGCCGCTGGCTCCCACCTTTGCCAGCTGATCAGCACGTTTGTTGCCCAGGATCCCGATGTGGCCTCGGACCCACCGCAGGGTGACGTGTCGCTCGTGCCTCGCCCTCAGTACCATGCTTCTGATCTCACGTACCAGCGAATCGCGATGGTACCTGTCTTTCAAAGCCTGTAGCAACGACTGGCTATCAGAGTAAACCGTGACCAGCTCTGGACCCGGATGTAATAGGATCCACTGGGATGCCCCCTCCAGGGCCACCAGTTCCGCCTGGAACATGAACGCTTCCTCGTTCAATCTGACTGACTGTTTGTACACTTGCACTTTGTCACAGAAGACACAGTACGCGGCACCTACTAAGCTGCCATCTTTTGAGCCATCGGTGTATATTTCAACAACCGTACCAGTCAGTTCACCGACGTCCCAGTCGAGTCCGATCCGTTGGGCCGGATGGACTTTAAAGACATCCACTCGATGTCTTAGCCTGACTGGGTACTTCCGATTACAATGCATAGCCTCTATTCCTTCTACTGTGGTTCGGTAGAAGGCCGCCTCTTGGCTGATGACCAAGGGCAGCGGGAGCAGCCCGGCCAAGACCAGGGCCGCATTCGTGGACACAGATCAGTACACTCTCGTGATCCACAGGGCAGCGGGTCTCTGAATCGTGAACAGCGTCCTGCTCTGTTTGACATTGGCAGAATCTTTCCACCATACACCGCAGGCGTAGCAGATGACGCGCTCTACGCACATCTTATAGATGGCTCGAAGCGCCTCTCGCTTAAGCCGTAGTCCTATCTTGCTAGTCTCAATAGTGCCGCTATCATGAGGTTCGTCTTTTCTCGAATGTTCCTCAGATGGGGCGTCCAGCATAGTGTCTGATCGATGGTAACACCAAGGTACTTAAGCTCACTCACCCTTCTGATGGGGTTTCCCCGGATCCGGTATATTGGTCAACGGGCCAACACTCCAGTCCAGGCCCTAGGATCAGGGAAACCTTATTAAAAACGTTATAAATGACAGTGCACATGGCCTTCTGACAACGGTTGTCAGTCTTCCCAAGGAGCTTGGTCAGCTCCTCGTGAATACCATCGAACGCCACCCGCCTGTCCTTAACCGTTTCTAGCTTTTCCCGTGTCTCCACAGGCGCCGACAACGGTGTTTTAGCTTTTGCTCCCGAACTTATTTTCTCGGGTGCCACTACGGTAGGGCCCTTTTTCTTCTTGAACCCGCCTTTGTTTTTGCTGGAAGGTTCCCTTCCAGCACGGTCGCCGCGGCCTTCACGGGTTCACCCTTAGGTTTGTCACCTTCGGGTTCCACCGTTTTGGCCTTGGCCGCCATTGCCCGTCTTTGTCTCCTCCTGGCTTTGGAGTTGGAAGGTGCGGGCTTCCACTCGCTCACCTCTCCCGAGGAGGCAGAATCGAATACTTCTCCAGAAGTGGATCCAGACGAGTCCGAATCGGAGTCGCCGGTCCCTATCGATACAGGGACTGTATCTTTGGGCCCATCACTGGGCTCGTGCAGCTGATCATTGGCGGGCTTGTGTGACCGCAAAGTCCTCCTCTCCATAGGCTTGGTGCTCGCCATTTCACCGCCTGCTGCTCTTGCTCCCTCCACCACGCTATCACTCAGATGGCCAGAAACGCTGGGTATATCGTCTGCACGAGACACACCCTTCGAACACACACACACAGTTTCTGTTTTTGTCATCATTAAATAGAGTAAAAATAAGAGGGGATTAGGGTGATCTCGACCTTTCACAGGTGCCCTGAATCCGTTCAAGAATCAAAGTATGCGTTTCAGAGCCAGCTCTGACTTCGGGCTCACTGAGGGCTCATTTTGGCCCTCTTATTGCTGGGTCGTCACTGCTTGGCCCGCTGCCGGGACAGCTACCTATTTAAGTTGTCATGTCACAGAGGGTAGGAAACCAAGGTTAATTCTCGTCAATGTCCCTAACTCTGTTGATAATAAAAACTTACTTGAGACAATGTATAATCAAAATGATATTCTGGAACAAATCAACAAAGACGAATTTATAGAGAAATGTAGGATTAGTACAACCATTTTCAAAGGAAATATAAAAGAGAATTGCAGACATGTGGTGCTTTCTGTCGCATCAAACATCAGAAATATACTAATTCAACATAGATATATATCGCTTTCATGGGAGAACGTCAAACTAGATGATTATGTACCTGTAATCAGATGTTTCCAGTGTGCAGGCTTCAATCATATGGCGAAAGATTGTAGAGAAAAGACATATTGCAGTCACTGCACTAAAAATCATAGATATAACGAATGTAATGATAAACAGAATACACCCTGCTGCATAAATTGCATAAAACATAATAGAGACCAGCCAGCGACAAAAAAGGTTTTAACTAATCACAACGCATACGACAGAACATGCCCAATACTACAAAAACTGAGAGCACAGAGAATAAAACAGACAGATTATGGCATCTATGGGATTCTGCAAACAAACAAGTACATCTTTACAAAACAGTAGTTCTGGGATACTATTTCAAGGAACAAACATTAAGGTGCAAATCAACACAGAAAAATGCAAAGCAGCTTCATCTCTTCTAATAAATACAGTAACGGAAAAGAAAATAGACATTGTGGTTCTTCAAGAGCCATACACATTGAATGGAGGAATCGTCCGTTTCGGCAATTGGAAGGTTTTCCCTCCTAAAGGACTATACAATAAACCTAAAACAGGGATCCTCTCCCCTCACAGAGATATAAACATGGATTTTTGCCCGGTTCTAAGCAAAGAGAATATAACTACAGTACAGATTTCCACCAATAATACTTCTTTATACATTACTTCTATATATTGTTCGCCAGATGATGACATTCTAGAACTTCTTACAAACCTGGACATCATTAACAAGCAAATAAACAACTCACCATGGATCTTAGCAGGAGATTATAACGCTAAGTCTCCGACATGGTTCAGCCCAGTGGAGGACATTCAGGGGCAGAAATCTAATAGACTTTATGGCAAGCAATAATATGGTCTCTTGTAACACTAGTAACTTACCAACTTTTTTCTCCAATAGGGGAGAAAGTTGGGTGGACGTATGTGTAGCCAATCAAAATGTGATCAAATACATGGATAAATGTGAGACTGTGGATGACATCACCGCAAGTGACCACAGATACATCATATGGAGCCTTACAAATACTCCTGCGCAACATACTGATAACAACATCAAGAAACATACAGAATGGAATACTTTTAAAAACTACTTCAGCAACCTATGTGCCACACAGCAAATAAATAACATAACAGATATTGACATCTTAGCTGAACATCTCAACAGTTGTATCATACAAGCTTATAATCACTCTACGACTTATACGCAAGTTAAAACTAAAAACGCACACTGGTGGAACAATGAGCTCTTCATTTTAAGACAGAAAACACGTAAATTACAAAAAAGATATCGTTCAGAAACAGATCCGGAGAGAAAGAAAGAAGAAATGAATATCTTAGGTGTTTTAATAACTACAAAACAAAAATAAATAGAGCTCGGAGTCAGGCGTGGCAACAATTTTGCACTCAAAGAAGTAAACAAAATGTATGGAGTGAGCCATACTACATGGTATGTAGGAAAAAGACAAGAAGTGAAATCCCAGCAAACATTTTGAAAACTGACGGAACATACACAAATGGGTATGCAGAAACTGTCAACTACTTAATGGACACACTACTTAATGGAACAACAAGCTCTTCATTTTAAGACAGAAAACACGTAAATTACAAAAAAGATATCGTTCAGAAACAGATCCGGAGAGAAAGAAAGAAGAAATGAATATCTTAGGTGTTTTAACTTTCCCAGCGACAGAGAGGAAGAAGATAACAACATACAAGAAAGGATTAGATTGAATACCTACAGTCCTCCGGAAACGGAAAATGACAGACCGTTTACATTTGTGGAAATTAAAAGAGCCATAACTTCGATTAAGAATAAAAAAGCGCCTGGACCGGATGGAATTACACCGGAAATGCTAAAGCATGCATTTTGTGCGGTTCCAATGGCATTCTCATACACGTATAACAAATGTCTTGAAACAGGGATTTTTCCAAGAATATGGAAACAGGCGGATATTAAATTTATCCCAAAGCCAAGTTTGAATGGAGACTTTAAAACTAAAGATTATAGTCTATTGTCGGTACCAGGTAAGTTACTCGATGGTTTAATAATAGACAGAGTAAATTTCCATCTATATAATAATAACTGGAAGAGTGAAAATCAATATGGATTTACTAAAGGACGTTCAACTTATCACGCGATATATAAGCTCATTAACTTTGTCAAAAATGCTTGAATCGACAAGAACATGCCCTAATTGTGTCCATTGACTATAAGAATGCGTTTAATATGCTTTGGTGGACAGCACTCTTTTGTCAACTAAAAAAGGCCAGATGCCCTAAAAATCTTTTTGCAATCCTTAATAACTACCTATCAGAAAGAATTGCTGGGGTCTACCACCATAGAGGCAACATCATTCGCCCCATAAATAGAGGATGCTCACAAGGGTCGAGATCGGGCCCAGGATTGTGGAATATTGTATGTAATGATCTGCTCAAAATGAACAACAACAATGAAGAAAACTGGCTGATACAAAGCTACGCCGATGATACGGTTTTAATGATGTCACATAAAAACGGTGAAAGGTTGCAGGAGAAGGTCAATGGGATACTTAGTAAAATATATGAATGGGGAACGCTGAATAAACTTGAAATAAATTACGACAAATGCGAAAGTATGGTACTTACAAAGGGAAAACAACTGCAAAAAGCTTTTAAAATACTCATAAATGGAAAAAGAATAAAAAATGTCAATGAAATTAAATATTTGGGATTAATAATTGATAGAAGTCTCAATTGGACTAAACACAGAGTATATGGCAGGAAAAGTTCGCAAAATAATGAATACCATGCTCAGCATTGCCCATAAAGAATGGGGCCTAAATCAAAAGGCGATTGTAACGTTAAACAAAGCCTGCATAGAACCGGCTATCCTGTACGGTGCACCTTTCTGGGGTGAGAAAATTGATAAGATCAACATCAAACGCAAATTAAACTCGATACAAAGACCTTTGCTTATTAGACTATGTAGAGCATACCGGACGACGTCAAACGCCGCACTTCAGGTACTTGCAGGGTGTGCTCCACTACACTTGAAAGCCAAGAAATTAACATGGACATGGACACTTAAAAATATACTCATTACTGACGACGGCAACAATAACCTAAAGAAGTATGCAGAGATAGGAATTCTCCATAACCTAGACTACACTTTTCTCAAAAACTTTGTGCAGGAAGGCATAATAAAAAAGATTAATACCTATACTCATCCTGCAAGCAATAACAAAGTGGAGATAACAGAGGTTAATGCAGACTCAATTCCTAAACATCTCATATTTACGGACGGCTCTAAAAACAATAATAATGTAGGAGTAGCATTCATCCATTTTATACACGGCAACTCACAGTACAGACACGAAGCTGGTTTTAAACTGGTTAGCTACACCACGGTGCCAGAAGCTGAAATATATGCCATCTATCAAGCCATCTCTTATATCTACACTCTTAAAAATTACAGAGGACATTTGAGAATATGCACCGATAGCAAAACGGCATTACGCAGGATAAATAGTGAAAATTCAAAATGCTACACGACAAATCTTATTCGGAACAAATTGACTAATTTGCACAGCTTTAAGGTGAGTTTCGCCTGGGTGAAAGGGCATTGTGTAATTCAAGAAAATGAGGCAGCTGATAGACTGGCGAAGCAATTTGCAAAGAGTGAACATAACATCATATATACTGAACTCACGGAAAAGAATATAAAAAACTTGCTTCAAGAAACCGTCATCCAATTATGGCAAATGGAATGGGAGAAAGGATACACGGGGAGAGTAACATATGGTTTCATACCAAACATTCAACATCGTCTCAAAATGAAGCATCTGAATATTAACAACATAATGTCACAGACTTTAACGGGTCATGGAAATCTCAGACAGTACCTGCATAGATTTGGATTAAGAGACAACGAACTTTGTGATTGTGATGGTACATCTCCTCAAGACATCAATCATCTCATATTCAGCTGCAACCTTTTTGACAGGGAGCATAGCTCTCTCATTCAAAATACTATTCAACATGGCCTTAATTGGCCATGTCAGCCACATCATTTTGTGAACAATAGTGATCTCTATCATGAACTACAAACATATATCACCAGAACCAAAGCACTAGAGACTAACTTCAGAAGAACATAATTGTGCATTAGCATCATCGCCAAAAGAATGTATGTTTATCCATGAGGTAAACTTTAGAAAAGGTGTTTTGAACAATAACATTTGTGAAACATTGTGATAGTGTATGGATTACAAAAATTTAGTACATTAATTCTGCATCAATTTTAAAGGAACAGCATCCTCAACATTGTAAAGAACAGCAGAATTCAATACAGATAACTTGCATCGACAGAAGGAGATCATAAGAAAAGGTCTCGAACTTTGCTCCAGGTTATCATCATTGACAATACAAGTAGTGATGACATGCAGAAACAATGTGTTCTTCACTTGGCGATTTAGTCAACTACTGCAGAACTATTTAAGTGATATCGGCAGTTTCTTTTATGTTTATAGTGTTTATAAGTAAAGCAACAAATACACTATTAATTGTTATGTATTTCATTATTGATCAAGAAATCGATAATTAATCTTACAAATGTTGAAATACCAAATGATTATTTAAGGATTCTTTCTTTTGGTACGAGTATGAATCTTCCAATGAATTTTAAGAATTTGCCAATAATAGCGGAAACAGAACATGCAATAAGGAAACTTCCAGGAAGTAAAGAGTAACAAACAAAACTAAGAACAACCATAAGTAAGGATTTAAGTCAATTTAAAGGTAAAAATAAAAATAGTGGTTATATAATAGATAAAAAAGCTGTTAAAATAGTTTAAAAAATGAAAATATTAAACTTTTTAATAAAAAACATATTTCTTTAGTTATGGCAGATAAATCAAAGCAGTTGGTGATTATAAAAAAGGAGGAATTGTTATCTAAAAAATTAGAAATAATTTCATCAGATGATTATGAATTATTACCAAAAAATCCTATTGTAGAAATTAAAAGCAATCTTACTAAATTAATTAAAAAATATAAGAATGAAATTCCAGCCAATCAAGTCAAGAATATTTTGGACTTTAATAATGTAAGAGAACCTAAGTTAAATGTAAGAATTAAAACACATAAGCCTGGTAATACTTGCAGACCCCTTGTGGATTTTAGAAGAACTATTTTATATAATTTGGAATGTTTTTTAAAAAATTTCTTTCAGAATATGGAGAAATCAACCTATAGTATACAAAATACAGAAGAACTAATTAACGGATTGTTAAAAGGTAACTATAAAAAATCTTTTCGTATTATGAGTTTGGATATAAAGTCTATGTACCCGTCTATCACTTTAGAAATGATAATAGAAAGTCTCAAAACATATAACGTTCCTGAATATATAATAGAACTTGTAAAATTTGTATTTAATAATAATTACTTTAAAATTTCTACAGAGTATTATAGGCAGAAGAAAGGTATTGCCATGGGATCGGTTATAGGACCAAAATTGGCTGATAACTATATGAATAAAATAGATGAAAGAATTTCAAGTCTAACAGGTATTAAATATTATGCAAGATATGTAGATGACATAATAATAGTTTATGATTCTCAAATAGTTTCATCCAAATATATTGAGGAATATGCAAACAGATTACATAAAAACTTAAAGTTTACAAGTGAAGATGAACAACAAAATGAAATGAATTTCTTAGACGTCACCATAAAAAGAGAAGAAACAAGTGTATCATTTAGTAAGTATGAAAAACTATGTAATAATGGTAAAACTATTAACTTTAAATCTTACTGTCCTTTAGAAAATAAAAAGAACGTCTTTAATATGGAATTGAGATATTAAATCGAATAACTCAGCAGGAAAACAGACATCGAAGTAAAACAATTGTTTAAAAAATTTCAGTTAAATGGTTATCCAAAGTATATTCTCTGTAAGTGATACAATTTATATTTAAAATGTAAATTTAATGTTAAAAACAGCATAGAAGATATTTCTAATGTAAAGTTTCCTTATGTTACTAATGTTTTTGAAAAATATAAACCAATATTTAAAAAATTTTCTNTGTTTCCAGTGTGCAGGCTTCAATCATATGGCGAAAGATTGTAGAGAAAAGACATATTGCAGTCACTGCACTAAAAATCATAGATATAACGAATGTAATGATAAACAGAATACACCCTGCTGCATAAATTGCATAAAACATAATAGAGACCAGCCAGCGATAAAAAAGGTTTTAACTAATCACAACGCATACGACAGAACATGCCCAATACTACAAAAACTGAGAGCACAGAGAATAAAACAGACAGATTATGGCATCTATGGGATTCTGCAAACAAACAAGTACATCTTTACAAAACAGTAGTTCTGGGATACTATTTCAAGGAACAAACATTAAGGTGCAAATCAACACAGAAAAATGCAAAGCAGCTTCATCTCTTCTAATAAATACAGTAACGGAAAAGAAAATAGACATTGTGGTTCTTCAAGAGCCATACACATTGAATGGAGGAATCGTCCGTTTCGGCAATTGGAAGGTTTTCCCTCCTAAAGGACTATACAATAAACCTAAAACAGGGATCCTCTCCCCTCACAGAGATCTAAACATGGATTTTTGCCCGGTTCTAAGCAAAGAGAATATAACTACAGTACAGATTTCCACCAATAATACTTCTTTATACATTACTTCTATATATTGTTCGCCAGATGATGACATTCTAGAACTTCTTACAAACCTGGACATCATTAACAAGCAAATAAACAACTCACCATGGATCTTAGCAGGAGATTATAACGCTAAGTCTCCGACATGGTTCAGCCCAGTGGAGGACATTCAGGGGCAGAAATCTAATAGACTTTATGGCAAGCAATAATATGGTCTCTTGTAACACTAGTAACTTACCAACTTTTTTCTCCAATAGGGGAGAAAGTTGGGTGGACGTATGTGTAGCCAATCAAAATGCGATCAAATACATGGATAAATGTGAGACTGTGGATGACATCACCGCACGTGACCACAGATACATCATATGGAGCCTTACAAATACTCCTGCGCAACATACTGATAACAACATCAAGAAACATACAGAATGGAATACTTTTAAAAACTACTTCAGCAACCTATGGGCCACACAGCAAATAAATAACATAACAGATATTGACATCTTAGCTGAACATCTCAACAGTTGTATCATACAAGCTTATAATCACTCTACGACTTATACGCAAGTTAAAACTAAAAACGCACACTGGTGGAACAATGAGCTCTTCATTTTAAGACAGAAAACACGTAAATTACAAAAAAGATATCGTTCAGAAACAGATCCGGAGAGAAAGAAAGAAGAAATGAATATCTTAGGTGTTTTAATAACTACAAAACAAAAATAAATAGAGCTCGGAGTCAGGCGTGGCAACAATTTTGCACTCAAAGAAGTAAACAAAATGTATGGAGTGAGCCATACTACATGGTATGTAGGAAAAAGACAAGAAGTGAAATCCCAGCAAACATTTTGAAAACTGACGGAACATACACAAATGGGTATGCAGAAACTGTCAACTACTTAATGGACACACTACTTAATGGAACAACAAGCTCTTCATTTTAAGACAGAAAACACGTAAATTACAAAAAAGATATCGTTCAGAAACAGATCCGGAGAGAAAGAAAGAAGAAATGAATATCTTAGGTGTTTTAATAACTACAAAACAAAAATAAATAGAGCTCGGAGTCAGGCGTGGCAACAATTTTGCACTCAAAGAAGTAAACAAAATGTATGGAGTGAGCCATACTACATGGTATGTAGGAAAAAGACAAGAAGTGAAATCCCAGCAAACATTTTGAAAACTGACGGAACATACACAAATGGGTATGCAGAAACTGTCAACTACTTAATGGACACACTACTTAATGGAACAACAAGCTCTTCATTTTAAGACAGAAAACACGTAAATTACAAAAAAGATATCGTTCAGAAACAGATCCGGAGAGAAAGAAAGAAGAAATGAATATCTTAGGTGTTTTAACTTTCCCAGCGACAGAGAGGAAGAAGATAACAACATACAAGAAAGGATTAGATTGAATACCTACAGTCCTCCGGAAACGGAAAATGACAGACCGTTTACATTTGTGGAAATTAAAAGAGCCATAACATCGATTAAGAATAAAAAAGCGCCTGGACCGGATGGAATTACACCGGAAATGCTAAAGCATGCATTTTGTGCAGTTCCAATGGCATTCTCATACACGTATAACAAATGTCTTGAAACAGGGATTTTTCCAAGAATATGGAAACAGGCGGATATTAAATTTATCCCAAAGCCAAGTTTGAATGGAGACTTTAAAACTAAAGATTATAGTCTATTGTCTATTGTCGGTACCAGGTAAGGTACTCGATGGTTTAATAATAGACAGAGTAAATTTCCATCTATATAATAATAACTGGAAGAGTGAAAATCAATATGGATTTACTAAAGGACGTTCAACTTATCACGCGATATATAAGCTCATTAACTTTGTCAAAAATGCTTGAATCGACAAGAACATGCCCTAATTGTGTCCATTGACTATAAGAATGCGTTTAATATGCTTTGGTGGACAGCACTCTTTTGTCAACTAAAAAAGGCCAGATGCCCTAAAAATCTTTTTGCAATCCTTAATAACTACCTATCAGAAAGAATTGCTGGGGTCTACCACCATAGAGGCAACATCATTCGCCCCATAAATAGAGGATGCCCACAAGGGTCGAGATCGGGCCCAGGATTGTGGAATATTGTATGTAATGATCTGCTCAAAATGAACAACAACAATGAAGAAAACTGGCTGATACAAAGCTACGCCGATGATACGGTTTTAATGATGTCACATAAAAACGGTGAAAGGTTGCAGGAGAAGGTCAATGGGATACTTAGTAAAATATATGAATGGGGAACGCTGAATAAACTTGAAATAAATTACGACAAATGCGAAAGTATGGTACTTACAAAGGGAAAACAACTGCAAAAAGCTTTTAAAATACTCATAAATGGAAAAAGAATAAAAAATGTCAATGAAATTAAATATTTGGGATTAATAATTGATAGAAGTCTCAATTGGACTAAACACAGAGTATATGGCAGGAAAAGTTCGCAAAATAA